GTATGGTAATGGCAAAGGATTTTATTTCCAAAAACTTACCAATTTTTTAGTATGGTAATGGTAAAAAAAGTAGTAAAAATCATCATCAATATATAAGATTTACCGAAAACCCTACCCTACAGGTGACCACTCCTATCCACGAATATTGTTTTTCTTTGCTAAAGGAAAAATGGTAAATACTTCATAAGAAAGGAATTATTTTTTTTCTTTGCTATAGTAAAAGACGTAAATACTCTATAAGAAAGGAATATTATTTTTCTTTACTAAAGGAAAAGAGGTAAATTCTCCATAAGAAAGGAATGTTATTTTTCTTGCTAAAAGATAAATACTCAATAAGATAAGCAACAATGACTACTAAGAATTAGGATAAAATAAATTATCTTAAATATAATTATTTTTATGAGAAATATCATATCTCCATAAAACTAACAACTTCTTAGTTTAAGTAGAAGAAACTAGATTCTTTTTAAGTAAGATTTCGAATTTAACTTATGTAAATGAAGAAAAAGGCATTAAGAAAGCTTATCTTTTATGGGGTTCATTTCAAATTAATTAAGATTTAATGTGATTTCTAGATATTGGAGGTAATGAAAAAAAAAAATTAAGGAACAATCTTTTTACTCAACTTTACATATCATTTAAATAATTGATTTTTTTATTCATTTAGGACCTGTAATATTGAATGCATCCATTTATTTAATAACATGTTAAAATTGTATAAAAAAATAATATGAAAAAGTTATCCTATCTTGCCCAAAAAATATAACCTGAGGAGAAAAGAAAAGAAGCTAAACCCTAATTAATTTTTTTTTATCAATTTTTTGGTCTCCTAATTTTAATTTTTATCCTAAGTAATCTCTTTTTTCCAACCTTTTTTTATTCCTAAGGTTAAATGCTAAATTTGGTCCCTCAACTTTAGTGAGTTGCACATTTTTGGTCCTTTAATAATTTTTTGCACTTTTTTTATCCTTAAACTTTAAGAAATGCACTCCGTTAGTTCTTCTGTTAATTTCGATCGTTAACTCGCTTATGTGGTATTTTTTATAATTTTTTTGATGACATGGCAAAAATAAATGGAAAACGTATGTGGATTTTTTTTTCATGCCAACTCACATGATTACTATTTATATTTTAAAAAAATAAAATAAAAAAATTCTGTTCACTTCTTCCTTACTCTTTTTCTTCCTCTTCTTTCTTCCTCTTTTTCCTCGAATCATTGAACCCAGTTTGCTGGGTTCGATGGAACCCCACCTGGGTTCCACCGAACCTAGCAGATCTGGGTTCGCTGGAACCCAGCA